ATCAGCAGGTTGATAATGAGTGCAAACGACTGATTTAAAGATGCTTTGAAATTGTACACAAATGTGTTTTATACTACGTTTCCTAAGGCAAAAACTTATAAATGAGAAAAGCAGATACATTGCGTATGATTGAGGAATTGTTACAGGATCGATGGCTAATGTCGGAATCGTTGTTTTTCGAGCACGACAACATTGTGAGCACACGGCTGTCGTGACTTTTAATTATGAATTGATCCATATCTATGCTTGAAAAATGGAGTGTTTGAGAATTCCCATGTGAAAGACTACAGACAGTTATTGTTACTATTACTTTTGTTATTATTGTTATTACTTTTGTTATTATCGTTAATATTATTTTTGCTTCACCATTTTTTCTTACTGCATTCATTCGTTATTGTCATCATCGTTGATATTTTTATTCGTGCATTTATTATTTAACCCTCNTTTTTTCATATTTTCAAATTGACGGTGCATTTTCAATCAAATCGTTAACGTCACGTATCTTCTGAAGTTACTTCAGACTTCGAAAAAGACGACCACTATATTTACTCATCAACATTTTGTTCAATGACAAGTTGCGAGGTGCATAATTCATATTAAATATTATCGTTCTGTTTGTGAATCTGAACGCAGTTCCTTGAAGGAGACTGCTGAAGTAAGCTTTCAATCACCTAAAGTGTTTGTTCTTGTTCTTGAACTAAGTGAAGTATTTGTTTTTTGATAAGTTCATTGGTCAAAACCTAACTTGATCAAAGCCATGAAATTCATCGCTGTTCAGTGTGCAAATATTCTGTTAGTCAAGGGATTCGGACAACCCTTTTGCTTGGGCCTAATAATCTCGGACGTTCATTAGACGAAATGTCCATTAGGTCAAATGGCCATTTGGCCAAATGTTGTAAGGCGACCAATTGACATAGCACCGACAAAAATGAGATGATTTTAAGTGGCATAGGCTTTTATTGTTTGAATTATAAAGCCTATGCGCAGGCAAATAACTGAACTTTATGTTTGATTCAGATATGGATTGATGTAACCTACTGATTGCACTACAATTTTCCTTCGACGATCAGCTAGCATACGGTGATTGTTTGGAACATGCTGGTTTTGTTTTACGTTATTTTGGTAATGCACTATTAACATAATAGTTTGGTTCGTGACGCTTTGATCAACGATCGTCATTGTATCTTTTTTGCAAACAAACTGATGTTTTTTCAAAGTATATGACAAAAAAAATTCCTTTCAAACTCTACAAATTATAGCTGTCATGATGATGAACGACATAATGCACTGAGACATTGACTGCCAAAACAACACCATGTTCTGTGCTGTTGTTAACATTGAACTGACTTTTCGTGGTGTTCGCTGGGGGAGCAACTTTTTGGCTAGGAGTGAGGACCTCTCGAAGAGCAATTCGAGAGCTAATTACTTGGTGGAGAGAGGGGGGGGGTTGGAGTGAAGGCGGAACCAGTCTAAAAGGTCGGGAAACAAAATTACCGAGGTTTTTACACCACAACGAACACTAGCTTTTCCATCGTTATATCACACAAATCGTATCCATCAAAAAAGGATCATGCGAAAGGAAGACGTTCAACCGGTACAAGTTCGATTGATTATGAGTGATATCTACGATAATTAGAGGTGATCAGAACTTGTTTTCGATCAAACATATCTGATTGATGTTAACATAAATTTGGGCAGCTGTTTACGAAACGAACTGACCAAATTCTTGCTAAACGAAATCGCCGAAAAATTATTTACGTCAAAGCTTAAAAATCAGCTTTGATTTTGAAAAAATTCTCATAACAAATTTCAGAGGGCTGAAACCAAAGCCGCAGCCGGAAATTTGAAAGGTGTAGAACTAGAACTGGATCCGAAGCCATTTTTTCGTGAGCTTGAGCTGACGAGTTAAAGACAAATTCAGTTAATACGATGAGCCCGAGCTGGTGATGGAACCGAAATTTAAGAACTGCGAAGCCAAAGTTTAGTTTTTTCTCGGAATTGAGCATCACTGGTTATAAGTCTTTAGTAAAACTTTGATTGCAACGATGAAGACAGAGAAGAACAAATGTTGAACTAATAATGATGACAATTGGGCACTGATCCGCTTTTCCAATTCGCAACCTACCACACATCAGTTCATTCAATTGCACTTGACTAATTGAAGCCGTATGATACAACAATCGGATTCTTTGTCCTCTTACGATGAATCTCCACTCTCCTTCAGCGAAAAGTGTAAATGCCTTATGGCCATAACCCACGGTTTGAAGCAATCTGCGTTACTAGGTTCGAAAAAATACTCCAAAAAGTTCAACAATTTATATCACCCAAGGTACAAACAAAGATTAGGGGGTACTCGCAGAGATCGACCTCAAATTCTCCGCCTCTACGGCACATTTCGTTCAAGAAATCCTCTCACGAGTGCACCCGTGGGCACTAAAAATTCTCCCGCATCCGCTATGCTTGCACTTTGGAGAATACAATTTAGTGAAGTTTTTTCATCCGAAATCCTTCTGAACACTGCATTCACAAAATGAATAGTGTATGCTGTCGAATCGCTCAACACATGAATCATTCACTAATATCAAACGATAGCTTGAATGATAATGTTTTGGCGTTCAGTCTTGACCCCAATTAATACGCATTCCCTTAGGGGAGTTATCTTTCGAAAAACATCTCAACTTTGAGGGTTGGGTCGACAATTAATACATTTGAATCAAACCTAATGTTATTGTAAATTTATCATTTTTATCCACTGCACTAATTATAAGTGATTATTTGAATATAGAGCGCAACACGTAATTCGATGGCCTCATTTCGCTGACATTGATCGGTCACATCGCCGTCAAAACATTCATACAACCCAAATTTGATTATTGACTTAACCATTCTCATACTGATTCTGTTTTTCACTGGTTAAATTCATCCATTTTTATACTAATCAATTTTACTGAGTAGTTGTTACCTTTAAAATTTCTGCCACCAATTGGATTATATTTGTAAATGCTTTTGTTAGTTTCAGTTTTATTATCGTTCTCTTACAGACGCGAAGAACATCATTGGTTTTCTTCCTGATAGCATTCTTATCTTTTTAACATTCTCATCGTTTACCAAATCAATTCATGTAACTTGCACACGTTCTGTAATTAATTCCTTCGTAGTGCAAAAATGACTCACTTCGTTTTTTCTTGAACTCTTTTTCTGGTTTTAGCTAGTGAAGCCATTCAAATGTAGCACAAACATTCTTCATATTAACGTAAAGCATAACGAATAAGTGTCGTTTTGTTTATTGGGCAAAATGTGTGAAACGCTCTCAATTTAATGACTAGTGCGACTGAAGGAGTTCCGTTTTCTCATCGATTTAATCAGACGGGTTCTTGATAACCATCATCAGAACGCTCCCTCTTCCCTGAATATCTCTCAATGCGTCCGAGAATTATGAATGTTTATGTAGTCATTCACCTGTCATGAAAACGCATTACCAGTCGAATGTGATATCGAATTAATATCTCATACTTAATAGATTTCATTCCCGGTACAAGTGCATCCTTAGTGGGGAACTGTGAGGGTGCGCACGCGCGCAGTGGCCATGAACCCAAACAGTTGCCAACACACTGCAGACGTAGCCATAACACGAATGTGAAGTTAGGCCGAAGCTCAGCCTAAGCATAGCCTCAGACTAAGCATAGCCTCAGCTTCAGCCTCAGCCTAANCGTGAGACTGAGGCTTCGCTTAGTCTAGGGCTGAACATAGCCTCAGCCTGTGTAAGGAGAGCTTAGACATGAGCTGTTTTAGAGGGCAACCGCGGGGCCACGCTTACTGTGCATCACCATTATAGTGCTATTGCGCGTGCGCATCCTCACCGTTCCCCACTAAGGATGCACTAGTGCCTCATTCCCTTTCCTTTTGAATCACAACTAATATCAACTGATCACAACGTGATCATAACTTCCCAGCAACTCAATCATTGTTATTTTGTGTATTTCTTACAGTTTAAATAGCAATTACAACTCATTACAAGTTATGCCTCCCTGTAATCATAATTACCACATAACAATATGAGCATAAGGAATCATCCAGTTTCATTGAAGTCTAACTTTAATTATTTATTTGGCAAGCATTAGAGGTGTAGATTACTCTCCCATATTGCCCATTCTATTTTATGACATCAATTTCATGATATTTGTGCACTAAAGTTTGCTATGCGCGTCACAATAGTTTGAAGGAATTACGTCAGTTGAAATCGCTCTCTGAACTTTATTCATATTCCAATGCAAATGTTTGCTTTATAGTTGCATTGCAACATTGAACTTCGGTTATTTGACCCATTTCAGTTGGCAAATAACTTAAGACAATTAATTCCTAGAATAGTAGAAGACTGTTTCTATAATAGAAACAACATTTTACCACTTTCACGTGAATAATCCATTATTTATGATGACATCATATGCTACAACTCATATACGATGACGAACGGAAGAAAAAGAACAGTGATGACATGACGTAAGAAGAAGCAAGAATGATGACATTAAACATTTTTGTTCCGTGCTTCTGAAAAACGAAATTCAAGGTGGCGCTATCATATGATAATTCATCCATTTACCGCCACCTGGATGGTAAAGAACAAATATCACTGAACAAGAATAAACTGGGAATGATTGAGATGGAATCAAGGACTAGTAAAATACCAAACTTGCTGGATGCAAATGCTGCATTATTAATTCCCAAAACTCGAGATACTTCCAAAGAGGAGCCCCGGTACTGGGATCAGGGTTCAAAAGTCGAGATCGCGGGCAAACACCAAGTCATATACCCTTTCGGTATTCATCACATTCAATAACAAGCTCTTTGCGTTTGTGATAGAAACGTTTACGTTGAAACAAACAGTGATATCTCCGTAAAACTTGTTACTTATTACTGCTAATTACAAGAGAAAATTGGTTAATTAACAAACAACATTGCAGTGATTAAACGACAGCTCGCCATCGTTAAAGGAGGATATCATGAAGTGGTCTTCAATAGCCATCCTTTTGGTATTTTATGGATTCAGTAAAGATTTCAAACCCGGAGAACCGTTCCTCTTCAAATACCAAGCTGAATTTCTTAATTTAACCGAGCATCAGCTGAATGGTGAGGTGCGTTTAAAAACTTTTCCGTCGACTCACAATATTTCATTTTGTTCCACAAGGTGCTAGAAATTTTCCTCCATTGTGCAATATCATCCCGAGAGTTCAGTCCAGGAATGACTTCTAGGAGAATTTCCTTGGCAGTTAGGAGTAAGTAAAGTATAGAATTATTGGAAAACAAATTCGAGGATCGTACTGTGCAACTTTCTTTCAAATTAAACAAAGTTTTTCTATGATCAGGAACAATATTTCAAATTCTTTTAAAACATTATTTCGTTCGGATGTAGATTTCGATTGGTTCATTGAGTACTTTTGATGCTTATCACATTACTGAAATGCGTATCTGATGAACGTTTGCAGATTTATCCATATTGGACGTACTTTTATTTGTTTTCTCTCATTCCAATATTTCTACTAACCGATATTTTACTTTATAAACCAATTTTGATACTCGAAAGCATCGGATATATGGTGTTCAGGTCAGCTGATCCGAAGCTTATAGTTGCATTTTGATCTCAAATATCAATTTACAAATATCTTCTCTACAGTGTTTGGTTTGAGAGATTTTTTTCGATGTGCTTCAAAAGTCCGCGCGAATTGAATAGGTTTGCTGCACTTGGCGATGAATTGGTTTGCAGTGTAACGGTGTTATATCAGTGCCATAAAAATTATTAGAAAAACAGAATGAAGTTATGAATTAAATAATAATCTTGTTTCATGTACTGATCCATGAAAAGTACCGTCTGATGCTTCGTAATACTTGATAGGGGTTTTTTAAATGTAAAGTACTGCGATAGGGGAATGAAATACTACTTGGCGTTTTGGCTTTGGTTCATTAACTATGAGAAACGTACGTGCATTCCGGACCATATCTGTGCCTCACTGAAGCAAAGAATTAATTCATTACGGTGGTTAATCACGTTGGTGATTTAAAAATCTTAATCGACGAAAAAGTTTACCAATTCAATTATTTTATCAATGAAAAACTCTCATTTCAGATTAACGCTAGTTTTCGGGCATGGAGTTTTTTCACAGCAAGTTGGAATGGCATCTTATGGTATCGCTTCAGCCGCTGAGATTGCCTTTTACTCGTATATTTACGCAAAAGTTGATAAAAGCGAATTTAAAAAGTGAGTGTCAGCCCTGAATTTCTGTTCTCTACAAATACTTTTGTGCACGAGAGAAATCCCACGATTAGCATCAGCGCATTAGGTTCGAGAACAACAGCAACTGCGAGACAACCTTTCTGGTTTTTGGATCCGAAAACGCAATTCGAATCATCAATGCGTTCTAAAAGTAAGAATATTCTAAGAGAATCTTAAAAAATATTATTCAGATTAACATCATGGACTCGAGCCGCCACAATGGTAGGGCGAACGTTTGGTTATTTATTGAGTCAATTCATAATAATAACACATCTCGGCAACTATTTTACCATCAACGAAATATCGCTCGCATCACCCATATTCGTCTTCGTATTCGGTCTTTGCTTTCCTCGCGTTCACTGGAAACAACTTGTTCAACGGATGATCGACAATGGAAGTATGTTCAAATTCAAATCATATCGACTGATGATAACAAAAAAAGAATTAATTGCCCACGTATGAGGTAGCATACCGATTTATTCATACAGTTCCATCATATTTAATAATATCTCGTTCATATGTTTTAGCAAAAGATAGTTTCGTTGCCCCAACAACTTATTTGAACTATGTAAAATATCGACTGCGAAAAATTCATTCGGATGCGGTGAAAATTTATTCCGTTGGATTCATAAGAAAATGGTCATTATGGTGGGCTATGACCACATGTATGTCATTGCAGGTAATTATTCTTATATCATTTGCATTTAAGTCATTGCTTTTTCTATCATATGTGAATAACTAACTTCGATGGTTTTTCGGTAAATATTCGGCGAAATACTTTAGGACTGGAAATATTCGAACAATGAGAACTTTCAGATAAGCGCATATGCTCAATCGCTGTTCGCAGAAGTGCAGCATGAAGAGTTGGCGTTGAATGGCTTCGCGGACGCCATTTATACAGCTTCTGGTAATGATTGTTTAAAATTGTCGTTAATTCTGCTCTATCATCTCGATTCAAGCTGCGAGCCAACAGCCAGCATACGAATGACTGACGAGTTATCTCGTAATAAATTTTTTTCCAGCTCAATTTTTTCAGCTACAATCGCAATTCTCATAATGAATAAAGTGCAAATAAGTTGGGATAAATGGGGTGAAGCAGCACTGGTGCTTATATCTGCAATTGATTGTGCGTTATTGTTGCTGTTTAGTAGGGCGCAATCCATTTATCTAATGTATGCTTGTTACATTTGCTACAGAACACTCTATCAACTTATGATTACCATCGCACAGTAAGCGATTTTCCTAATCTTATCACTTATGACCGTAAGCGGCTGATAAATTCACTATTCCGTGACTAAAAAGAAGAATTTTTTTTTTCTCGCTGTCTCTAGACGAATTTTCTCGCTGTGTCATCGGAATCAAATGCTGAATTCAACTGCCAATTGTTATAATTTATCCGTGGTGATTGGGGAGCTGTATTAAATTCGGTGTTTTCCAGACTTTTTCATTAGTTTCAAACTGTTTCAGGTGAATTAGTTTATTTATATGTTAGTGTATTTTAGATGGAATCTAGCACGCAAGATGGTCTGTGAAAGTTACGGTTTAGTGTTCGGGTTCAATTCATTCATTGCTCTCATTCTACAGTCCGTACTCACATCGATTGTGGTCGATAAACGTGGGCTTGGCATGAATATTCGTTCACAGGTAAAACCCGAGTTTGATCACTCATCGCTGTTGCAATTCATCAGATCTTGAACAGTGAAAAAGGAGAGAGTTAAACAGATAGATCATTGCCTACCATTTTTCTGATAATAAAGGTATGACAGCAGATCATTTAAAATGATGAGGATCATCCATTATATCATTTATGGAGAATGCACACAATCACCAAATACCGTTTCAATGCGCTCAGAAGCACCTACGTTGGAGTATTGACATGTTTATTCATTAAAAAATAACATTAGTACTATTGAACAATGAAGGCTAAATGTGGCATGCTGACCTAAACTCTTCAAAACCTCCTCAAATACTGTAACTTGTAAGAAATGACAATTTCATCAAGTGATCACTTGATAATGTTTCAGTTCCTCGTCTACGGTGCATATCACGCTGTGGTAGCAGTTGTATTCCTCTGCTCGATAACTTATAACGCTGTTGACATACTGCTGTATCGTGCACGCATAAATAACGAATTGGAAGGAAGTATCAAGCCGAAGACGTTCGTCAATGAGCCTAGTGTGGCAACCATTAAGGCGACAGCTGAGGATATGGCCATCTAGAAAATTTCAGATCCATCCGATCACAAAACGTTCGATTCCAGCAGTGAGAAGACGTTGTCAATACTGGAAAATGAGCTCACGTTTTCACCAAAAATTATTTCCTCAGATTGACCACACGACAATTGTTTACATGAGAAGTTTCACCGCAGTTAAACAAATGGAGTGATATCCTCGGAGTTATTCACATTGTAGACCACCTCCGTTAGCAGAAATTCACTGAATAAAGATTCAAAAAGCTCAATTCCTAAGAACGAAATATGACGAAGTTCGCAACCATCTTTCACGTCGGCGTAAATGTTTAATACACTTAATTTCTATTTGCTATCCGTTCTGAGCGCCTCTGGTAGACAAGAGTCGTCCCAGGTTTACTTATAAAAAGTCCTCCTTTGATCGTCCTTCGCATAGATAATCAGCCTACTTGTGGTTGCAAAAGGTAACTACTTACCAGTAATGTTTGGCTTAATCTTTTTTGGCTTTCCTATCTTATTTATGTTAATCCACATGGCGATATTGTCGTTCGAGGAATTTCCTTAATTTTATCGCATACTACCAAAATATAAACACAGAAAACAGCAACAATATTCCGAAAATTCACGACGTTATGTTACCTCTTAAGAAGGAAAATTCTCGGCAAATACACGTAAGATTGATTATGACAAATTCTTCGTAGACTACTGCACCGACCCATTCTCAAATCGAGAAAAATATTGCATTTTTTTGAGAACAAGTAATGTTTTCAACGTCTTTGACAATGATAAAATTTACCTCGTTATTCAACACATATTAGATTATTTGTGTTCATCGCCGCTTCATCGATATTTTATGTAACATATCTTCATCATTGTGCTGCGAACAATGAGTCGCATCACCCATTTCCGAAAAATTTAATTGAGTGATAAAATATTGGAAGAAATGCCTCATATTGCAATTAAAACATTCACTGCATCGGTTAAATCATAACTAATTGAGGGGTAAAATTAAGATTTCATTACGGGAAAGATATTAATCCAACACATTCAGAAACGAATAGAGACGCTGCGCGAGCAGTCCAGTATTATCATGCCAATATGGAACATGAATGAAACTCTGTTTTGCACACTTATAATGATAGGAACAAAACATGTTCCTCTTGGGTAATACAGCATATGATAAAAGAAAATGAAGGCCTTTCCAAATATCAAAGCAACTAGGCCTGATCAGATTCGAACTCACGCGGGGAAACCCCAATGGATTAGCAGTCCA